CATGCGCAAGGTGAACTTCTATGAAACATTATGGTTTTATTTCTTTGAAGACAGATTTGAATATTCACCAACACCACAACTGAAATGCATCAACTCTTCTCTGTCTTCTGTTTTCACTGCCCAGCCTTCGCATGATACAAGGTGATTAAAAGAGCATGGTTCATGCCAGCTGTATCTTGGTCATCAAAGTGACATCTGTGCTTCTTAACTCTTTAGATTGCATCACATTTGCCTACTGCCTTATGTAATCTGACAGCTGCTTCCAAGGGCGTTGATTGTGGATCCAAGTAAAATGAAATCCTTGTCAATTTCAAGACTTTCTCCATTTATCATGAGGTGGCTTAATGATTAATGGTCCAGTTGTGAGGATATTAATTTTCTTTACATTCACATGTAATCCATACTGAAGTCTTTGATCTTCTTCATTGAGGATTTGTAGTCATCTTAATATCTGGCAAGCATAGGTTGCCCTATGCATATTGCAGGTTGATGATGAGTCTGTCTCCAAGAATAAGTAGGGTGAAAGGCTATAACCCTGCCACACACCTTTTGCAGTTTTGAATCAGGCAGTGACCCTTGTTTGGCTAGAAGGACTACCACTTGATCTATTTACAGATTCCGTATGGACAAAATTAAGTGTTTTGAAATTCCTATTCTTTGTAACATTATCCATGTTTTGTTATGATCTACACAGTCAAATGGATTCCTGGGGTGGCACTGTGGGTTAATGTGCCAGACTAGAAACCATCTGAACTGCAAGGTTGGTGGTTCAAGCTCACCAGCTACTCCTCGGAAATCCTATACAGGGTCGCTATGGGTCGGAACCGACTTGACGGCACTTAACAACAGTCAAATGCCTTTGCACAGTCAATAATATACAGGTAAACATCTTCCTGGTCCTCTGTTTTCAGTCATGATCCATCTGACATCAGTGATGCTATTCCTTGCTCCACATCCTGTTTGAATCCAGCCTGAATTTCTGGCCATTCCCTGTTGATGTCCAACGATGACCATGTTTTAATCACTCATTTCCTCAGCAAAATCTTGCAAGCATATGCTATTAATGATACAGTTCCATTATCTCTACATTCCTCTCAGTCACCTTGCTTTGGAATGGACATGAATATGTTTCTCTTCCGGTCCGTTGGCCAGCGAGCTGCCTTCCAAATTCCTCGCCACAGACTAGTGAGCTCTGACAGCACTCGTTCCATCTCTGCTGGACTCTTGTCTCTCACCAGTGCCCTGTGGTGGACCTTGAACTTCTTCCTTCCCTACCAATCGTTCTTGATCATTAGCTACCCCCTGAAGTGGCTGACCTTAGGCCAGTGCTTTTTGGTACAGAGCTGACACCCCAAACTCAGACTCCCAGCTTCTAGAACTGAGAGGCGATGCATTTCTGTTAAGTCACCTAAGGAGTGGGAACAATTGATCAATCGATTGGCTGCTTACCAAAAGACTGGTGGGTTCAGACCTAGAGATCTGCTCCCATAAAGAGTACGTATGGCCCGGGAAACATACAGGGCAGTTTTGCTCGGTCACATAGGGTTGCTCGGAGTCAAAATCAACCAGACAGCACCTAACCCCACAGCTGCTGTAAGAGACTGGTGCGGCGAAGCGGTGGGAACTGGTCTGTGTGAGGAAGGTCTCTGAGGTGCTCACACAGACCCCATCCCCTCCTGCACTGGGGAGCATAGATTGGAAACCTGGCCAGCAACATGGACCAACTCAGAACACAGCCCCCCAAGGCCCAGCAATTCTACTTGTATGCTCCTGTTTATGGCATATTCCACGTCTGTTCACTAGGGATGGTCACCCAAGGTGTGTATGGGAACAATCAGGGAAGCTCTACATATAATCAGCCCAAACTAGAAACGGACAGATGTCCATCAACAGTGGGATCAATGCAGTTGTCGGATATTCACCTCACAGAACACATTACAGTAACCAAGGTGAACACCACCAAGGAGTACAGCTGCAGGACCCCTTCATGAATACACCGGCGAGGGAGCGTGCGGGCTCCGTACAAAAAGCGCTAAACTACGAACCACAAAGTCTGAGTTTTTTTGATGTACTTTGCTCCTGCAAAGATTTAAAGTCTCAGAAATCCTCTACAGAGTGGTTATGGTCGGAAGGGACTTGATGGCACCTAATAACAATAACTGGGCAAAGCCATCTCTGATGGTGACGGTGGGAGTAGCGGCCCTCCAGGGCAAGGCAGAGTGGTGGCATGGGGTCATGTTTGGTCCCTTGCTCCAGTGCTGGTCCCACCATGTGGTCACTTTCTGAAGATCCTGACTTCACATCTGTTGACTGGACATCGGAATAACCATTACCAAGCAAGCACTCACTCCCTCAACAGAGGAGCTGGGTTGGGTCAAGGGGGTGCTCTGGTAGAAAGGACCTCCCTCCATCTACCTGCTCTTACTCTGCAGACGCCTCTCATTCCCTGGACTCTAGCCCAGCCCAGGCCCACTGCCCAGGGGTACGGGGCCTAAGGTTTCTTACCACTCTGGGCCTCAGTTGTGTCCTGGGGTCTGGACATCTGCCAATGCCCCTACATCTATTCACCCATCTTGTGGCACCGGAGTCTCTGAGAGAGAGTCTCCCACTAACCCAGTGCATGTGGCTTAGACGGGGTTGACCAGCTGTCTCAGGAATGTGCATATGACCCAACTTATTCATTCACTGTCATTGCATTGGCTCCAACTTACAGTGCCCCTGGACAGGGTCCCCAGGCTGTAAATCTTCATGGGAGCACAAAGCTACTCTCACGGAGTAGCTGGGGGATTAGAACTGATGGCCTATGGTTAGCAACCCAATGCATAATCTGCATATGACACAGGCCTAAACCAATAGCACAGCCTCACCCACTGACCACAGTGACTGGTTCACATAACCACATTCCACCCACTGAGGGTCAAGTCTGGCCTTACATTTGGACTGTTGGGGAGAGGACTGGTCATCTAGAGTGAGGCTCTGAAGCTAGGAAGAGGTGTGCCTGATGGCACTGGCAGGCATGCTGTCTCCTCTTAGAAGCTGAGACTGAGCCCAGATGAAGGGGTGCAGGGCACAGAGGTAAGCAGAGACAGGTAATGGTGATACTGTTTGAGCCTTGATCAAACCGCACCTGAAGCCAGAACTATCCCTGGACTTTTCAGGCCCGTGAGTCAGTACAATTCCCTTTTAAGTCACTTTGACCTAGTCTTCTTTTAACATGCAACCAAGAGAAGAAGAGTTAAGAATGTCTCCGTTCCAGCCAAAAACCTATTCCCTGGTGGCATTTACCTAAGTCGGTGCTGAGCAGATAGGTCTGTCCCACACTTTATTCACCCAGTCATGGAGCATTAATCCCCACAAAGCTGTGACTATTCCTGTGGACTTGTCCTTCACACATAGTGGGGTGACCTCAGTCTAACCTAAGAGGAGTTGTCAGCCCTTCATTAAACTCTGTCCAAGGGCACACAGGGAAACATCTCTTCTGAACTGCTTCTTAGCAATCCAGGAAAACAAAGGCAACACTCTCTCACAGCGCTTCTTCAGCTCTCTGTTATTAAAGTGCGGGCCATGACGCGTGCCCACCCCCACCCCCACCTTCACCCCCACCCCCACTTTGTGATGATCCACAGACGCCCAGCCTTTCCTGGTGAACGGCCTGCCACCTTCAGACGGGTGGGGGCAGTTCCTGTCATCCCAGAGGATACACTAGCATGCACCAATCCCCACAGACTCTACATCTTCCTGGAGGACTCGGGCCTGAATGTTCTGGAATCTGACACCCGCCTGTCAAGGACTCTGGGAGAGCCTGGTTGCCATCTTGGTCATGTGCAAATAATCAGCGGTCACAGGAAAAGGACTTTGGTGGGATCAGCCTGATCCTCTCCACCCCACTTACTATGGTACCAGAGTCCTTTGCAGCTGCCTGATTTCACATTTAAGAGCATCTCGCACCCCCAGAACCAGCCTCCCCTCCAGCACCCAGTTCCCTTTGGACATTAGCTCTGCTCCCAGAGCTTCCCATGGCACCTCATCAGGTCTCCCCAATGTCACCTCCACCCAGAGGTCTTCCCTAACCCCGTTAAGGCAGCTCCATGCCCTGCCCAGAGTCCACGTGACACCACCTTGTGGGCAGACTCCACAGGTATCCCTGCAGCTCTGCACTTGTTACCTGATACACTGATGACCCTCTGCAGCCGGTTTTACAGATTAGTTGAATTGGTTACTGTCCGTCTCCTTCCACAGGCTGCTACCCCCACAAGGGCAGGGGCTTAGTTCTATTCAATGCAGCACCCAAAGAACCCCACCTGGACTGTGATCTCTTCACCCCAGAACACCAGAACCAAGCCTGGACTGGGATCTGTTCTCCCAGGCACCCCAGAACTTCACCCTGGTACCCTAGAATCACACCTGGACAGGGATCTGGTCACCCAGGCACCCCAGAACTTCACCCTGGTATCCCCAGAACCACATCTGTTCACCCCAGCACCATACCCAACACCCCCAAAACCATGCTCACCAGATGTCCACACTCAATAGCATTGTTTGGTCGAAGGGAGGGAGGGACTTACAAACTTCAGGGGACACTGAGGCACTCTCCACCTATTTGTGGAAGTGTTTAGGCAAAAGCAGGGAAATGTAGAACCACATCTGGTTTTGGATTTGGGCTGTAAGGGCCTAGTACGTCTCCACCACTGCCAACAACCAAAGTTCTCATTTGTTCTCTGAAAACGAGGGTGAAACCTGCCGACATAAGGCGGGAACCTGCCTCCACCGATAGACAGTGAGAGGAAAGTGAAAGCCTGCCACCTCGTCAACCGTGGAAAACTCGCGAGACCTGGAAGAGCAAGGCTGTCCTGTCGAGTTCCGGCTCTCATGGTCTCTGTATAAGGGAACTGTGAAATGCCAGGAGCAGGGAAAGCCCCTCTGGTCACCTGGTCACCCAGTGTCCCACCCGACTCCTCCTGCTGACCCGTGTGCTCAGCCCACCTACCTGCACACCTGAGTCACTGGACCCGCTTCTGCCGGCCCCGCCCAGGCTCGGCCACGTTCTTGAAGACGCCCTCTGCAAAAAGAGGATGGCTGTGTCAGGCACGGTGTCTGCTCCAGTGTCTGCCATGGCTCACCAGTGACAGGCCAATGAAGTCCAAACACCTCAGCCTGGCCTGTAACCTGGCCATACCTCCCTTCTACCCCAAAATGAGACAAGTCCTACCTGCATCCTCTCCCCTTCTCCTCAACGGGGCCCCATGGTCTCTGTGGCCTGGTCTTACACTTCAGCTGCAGGGATGGCCAGCTACTTCTGGCCTTGGGGACATCACACCTGCTGTCCCTCTGCCCACTCTTTCTTATCTTAAGGTTGGCATCAAGTCCCCTCCTTAGGAAACCTTTCTTGACATAGTGCCCTCCCCACAGGAGTTCCTGCTTGTGATGCCAGTAACTGTCATCACTATCAAGATTGGCATCTGGACTTTATGCTTAATATTAGCTACATGAAGGTAGGGACTGGGCCTGTCATGTTCACTACCGGAGCTTCAACCCCTAGCACAGAATGAAGAATAACACTTGACAAGGTGTGTTATCAATTCTTGTAAAGATATGTTGGATGAATGGGGAAGTTACTGGAGAGATGTATGGATGTATGGGGAAAGAAAGAAGGATATATGGAGGGAAGGTTGGAGGGATGGAGGGACACAGGGGAGAAGAACAGGTGTGTGAATTCATACATGGATGGATGGATGGGTCGGTGGGTGGGTGGATGGATGGATGGATGGATGGATGGATGGATGGATCGGTGGGTGGATGCATGGATGGATAGGTGGATGGATGGGTAGATGGATAGATAAGTGGATGCATGGATGGGTAGATGGGTGGATGGATGGATAGATGGGTAGATGGATGGATGAATTGAGGGGAGAGGAAGAAGGAAGGATGCATGGATGGAAGTTTGAATGGATGGAGGGATACAGGAGAGAAGGACAGGTGTGTGAATGCATACATGGATGAATGGATGGATGGATGGACTGATGATTTTGCAGATAACTGGATGGATGGTAGGAAGTAAGGAGAATAGGAAGGCTAGGTAGGTGAATGCATAGCTGGATGGATGATTGGATGGATGGATGCAGGAGGGGAGGAAGGAAGCGGGCAGCATAGGTGTGTGTATGGATAGATGGATGCCCGGACAGGTACACGACCGGACAGATGACTGGATGGATAATGGAGGGGTGAATGGAGATGTGACGAGAAGGAAGGATGCTGGAAGGAAGGGAAGGAAGGATGGGGGTGTGAATGGATAAATGGGTGGATGTGTGGATGGATGGGTGGTAGGGTAGGTGAGTGAAGGGATGGAAGAAAGGAGAAAAGGGAGGTTAGACAGGAAGTGCAGATGGATGGATGAAATGGACAATTGGAGATGTGAGTGCTGTCAGAAGGAAGCAGAAAAGGAAGGACCGTAGGAAGGGAAGGTGAGAATGGATAACTGGACAGAAGGATGATTGGATAGGTGGACACGTGGGTGAATGCAGGAAGGGAAAGGAGGATGGTGTCAATGACGCTTTGCACATTTCTGACTCAAAGCAGGAGAGACTTTAGCATGTCTGGCCCCAAGTTCTGAGGTTCAGCATGAGGCCATGATTACTGTGAGCCCCTCTCTGACTCCCATCTCCCCCGACACACACAGCATCAGACAACAGTGAGTCTTCTTCATCTCCCATTCCTGGTTTCAATTCTATTCCTCCTACGGCTCGGCCCAAACTGCTGCCTCAGTCCCAGACTTGGCCACCAGTCTAGGTATCCAGTCCCCTCTCAGCACTGGCCTTCCTGTCTACAGACTGGAGTGGCCCCTGCCCATGGCAGATGCCACCCAGAGGAACACTCCACTGAAGGAGGGATTTCACAACAGAAAACACCATCTGACAGCATGAGAGCAGTCGGGGAGAATACAATCAGTCCCCATAGTATCAGCTTCTGACCAGAACGCTCTGTCTTTTAACCAGGCTTTCACTTTTCCTCTGCACCCAAGAAATGGTGACTACTCTTTCTCGTGCCCTCTGCAGAGAAAGACTGATTTCTTCCTTTACCTGGATATTCTCTGTGGAATTTCTGTTGTAGGGATCGCCCATCTGGAACATAAATCAGAGAATTTCTTAAAGCCACACAATCCCCTTGTAAGTCATTTATAAAGCCGGAATTCTCTCCATCACAATGCTAGGCAGCCGTAGATGTTTTCCTCTCTCTCAATGTGTGTTTACTGGGATTTTCCAGAAGCTCCATGACCTGGGCCCCCCACAGCAGAAGCAGACAGAACTCAGCTGTCTTCTATGAGCCCATTTCTTTATTAGAATCATGCAAGTAGATGATGTTATTCTTCTAGCTCTTTTTCTTGGCTTTGGAAAGTCGGTTATTTTTAGTAAATGTTACTTCTGTTTAATGTGTGAAAACATTGTAACAATATGTAATAGTTGCTACTCTTAAAACACATTCATACACACATAGCTTTAATGCCCCAGCTTTAATTTCCCCTGAAGTAAACATTCAAGAGTTCTAACCCACATAAAGAAATGTTCTTTGGGTTTCCTCAACCATTTTTAAGAGCATTAGAAATCCCGAGACCAAAAAGTTTGGAAAATGCTGTCATAACAGATAAATAGAAAAACAAAAGGTCAACACGCTGCTCAGCAAATATCATTAGGAAATTCTTGATGGTGGTATGCTGAGTGGATGGATGCATGGATAGAGGCTGTATGAGTGACTGAATTGGTGGGTGGGTGGAGCAATGAATAGATAACTGGGTAAACAGGTGGAGGAACAGACGGTTAGATGGATGTGTGAATTGAAAGGTGAATGAGAGACACTGAGCAGATGGGTGGCTGAATCGATCATCGATTCATGGATCAATGTTTACATGGGGAACAAAGGGTAGTAACAGAATTGCTACAAATGAGAAAGTTACTCTTGAGTATGAATCTTCACTCCACCACTGCATTAATCCTCCCTGAGTCTCAGTCTTCTCAACTGAAATGGGTCTAACACTGTTGTTAAGTGCCATGAAGATGTTCCCTACTCACAGTAACTCTGTACAGGCTTTCCCAACACCAGTTGGTGGGTTTGAACCACCAACCTTGTGGTTAGTCACCAGTGTTTATTCTTCAGTGCCACACCAGAGGATATAACATTAGTGCCTGGTGGACGCTGTGGGTTAATGCGCTGGACTGCAAAGTTGGCAGTTCAAGCTCACCAGTCGCTCCTTGGAAACCCTATACAGCATAGCTATGGGTCAGAACCGACTCAATGGCACCTAACAACAACAAAGTTATTGCTTCAAAGCATCTATACACACATCTTGTTGTTGTTGTTAAGTGCCGTCGAGTTGGTTCCGACCCATAGCGACCCTGTACAAGGTTTCCGAGGGTGTAAATCTTTACAGGAGCAGAAAGCCTCATCTTTCTCCCGCGGAGCTGCTGGTAGTTTCGAACTGCTCACCTTCAGGTTCGCAGCCCGATTCGTAACCACTACGCTACCTGAGCTACACACATCTTAGGGGCAACCATATGAAACTGCTGTTCTTATTAAGAGTGGTCAACTGTTGGCAATTTCCCATCTCAAATTTTCACGATGTAATTCCCAGAGTGGTTTGTCATTTACCGCCACCTCTCCCCCAGCCCCTACCCTGTTATAGCTGGTGGGGGGTAGAGACACCTGGCGTCTCTTCCACAGCCCAGCACAAGGACCCCTTCTCACGCCCACTGCGCTGCGGCCAGGCTGCTGACCAATCACATCAGTGCACTCACAGAAGACTTGGCTTTTCTTCTGTTTTGTGGCCATCTTAAAACTCATGGAGGTGTTTGAAGGTGACAAACCCCAACAGAGCCCATCCATCTCCTCAGGTGGGCGCATATCAGCTACTGCAAAGGCAAATGGCTGAAGCTGTTGGAGGCAGGGAGGTATTGTGGAAACATGTCTGCCCCTCACTCCATCTCCTGAGCTTTCATTCTGTCCCATAATGCCACAGGATGGGGACAGGGGTCCCTGTGGAAACCTCCTTAAACTCCAAACCAAAAAGCCAAACCTGTCTTTGTCAAGTTCATCCTGACTTACAGTGACTCCCAGGGACAGAGTGGAGCTGCCCCACAGGGTTTCCAAGACATTATCTTCCCAGATGGAGACTGCCACACCTTTCTTCCATGGGTCTCAACTACACACTTTGTGGTTTGCAGCCGAGCACTTAACTGCTGCACCACCAGGCCTCCTTCCTCCTTGATCACTCCTCCTCGAGTCACCAGAGCTGACCCTTTCACACACAGTGAGGCTGCTGAAGCCCACTTCATCCTTCCCATGAAGCCCCTGGAAAAGTCACGGTAAGAGGAGGCCAGTTTCCCAGATCTCATCCCTGAAGTTCAGACTCTGAGAGACCTCACACAGGCCGAGCAAACACACTCATTGCCCCGGTCCCCACTCTCCCGTCCATGTGCATTTTCCTGATGGGAGAGACATGAGCCCCTTGTGTGTCTGGACCTGTGTCAAATGTAAACATCCACCTGGTGTTTTCGAAGCAGACTCTCAGGGAGACACTGGGAAATGAAGTAAGCACAAGAGCTGCAACTTTGTCTCCAAGGGTGCAGAAGCAGAAATGTGCGTATTTACAGGAGACAACGCTGTAAGCATGGAGGAAGCTGGTGCAGGGCGCAAGAAATTGTTCTTGCAACTTTTCTTGGAAGTTTGAAATGATTTCAAGGAATAAGTTTAAAAACTCTCCCATAAATAAAAGACTTCATCTTTGGTAAGAGGGACATGGGATGTGAATCTTCATCCCAGCCCAGACTAGGGTTTTAGAGAAGGTATTAGCATTCAACATGCTTCCAAGCCCAAGTAATTACCAGCAATTATTGCAGTGACAATCCGCTGGGGACAAAGCAGAGGAATTTCACTCACATTCCCACCTGGAAGGGAGGGGAAGGTCTCCCTCACCTTTTCCCTCCTTCCCTTCCTTTCTCTCTTTCTCTCTCTCATTCACACACACACTCACACACACACTCACACACACACAGACTTTAGAGCTCAGAATCTCACCGCCGCCCCTTGTTAGCAGTGTGGGTCTGCCCAAGTTCTGGAATTCAAGTCCTCCCTCCACCGTAGGACATTCACTGAGGCCCTACGGAGTGCTGGGCACTGTCCGAGGCATTTTGTAGGTGTTCTCTCGTTCAGAGACCTCCAGGAAGCAAATCGTATCGTCATCTCCACTGTACAGATGGAGAAACTATCCCAGGCTGCCCGGCAGTTCGCACCCTGCCCTGCCCCCTGCTGCCATTCCTCTGTGCAGCCCGGCAGCAGAGCCTAAAGACACCCTTCAGAAGGTTCTCCATCAGTGGTACCCACAAACACCGAGGGAAGTCAGAACGACGGCCCTGGTGGACAGAGGAGAGCTGCCCCATAGGTTTCTAAGGCTGACATCTTCACAGAAACAGACTGCCTCCTCATTCTTCCTATAACTGCTGATCTTGTGGTGAGCAACCCAGCACTCCAGCCACTGCACCACCAGGGCCCCTTCCTTGAGTGGTAGGCATCATTGGTGCCAAACTCCAACTCAAGGTGGCCCCGTGTGTCAGCCTGGAGCTGTGCTCTGGAGGGCTGTCAGTGGCTGATATTTCAGAGGCAGATTGCCACGTCTTTATTCCAAGGCATCCCGGGTGGACTCGAACCTCCAGCCTTTGGTTAGTGGTCAAATGCATTAAGTGTCTGCAACCCCCCAGAGACTCCTGAACACAAGGGGCTACAAAAAACAAAACAAAACAAAAAAAAACGACGCAGAAAAACTCTATTATCTTTTCATTCCCTTTTCCCACAAAGTTTTGAAGCCTGTTCATAAATCCATGATCACTGCGATCAAGTGTGTGCTGACTCACAGTGACCCGGTCAGACAGAAAACTGCCCCACAGGGTGTCCAAGGCTGTAACCCATACAGACAGACTCCCAAGGAGTGTGAACCACCAACCTTTCAGTCACCAATGAATATAAAATACCCAATGTCTGTTGAGTACCTACTGCTGCCTGGCTCTGTTCTGAAGGATTACAGCTATGCTCTCAACCCCAAAATAGCATGAAGGCACCTACTGTACAGACGAGGAAACTGAGGCTTACAGAAATGAAGCCAGGGAAACCACTCTCACCCTGCTAGGAAAGGGCAGAGCTGGGAGCTGACGTTAGTCTGCCGCCCAGAGGACCTGTATGTCACATTTGGACCTGGGAAGACAAGGGTAGAGGACAAGGAAGAAGATTCCGGGCTGTGGGGTACCTGGGAGACCTTGGACCAGGTTGAGGGGGCCTGTGGGTGCTCTCGGGTCAAGTGTCCCAGCAGGGGTCAGGGAAATGGGGTCTGGGCAAGGCCGGGTGGGTCTCACACTCACCGGCCTCCTGACGCTGCCTAACACACTGCCCATGGTTGGGGATGCCCTTGGCCATGTCACCTGGGCTCAGGATGTGGCACTTGTAGCCTGAGGGACAGTGCAGTGGCTCCGCCCCGTCCTTGGTGGTGCTGCAGGCCTCGGCTGTGGAGGGACACACGGAGGTCAGGGGGTCCACGGGCAGTGGAGGGACACACGGGGGTCAGGGGATCCACGTGTAGTGGAGGGACACACACAGGGGTCAGGGGGTCCACGGGCAGTGGAGGGACACACACGGGGGGCAGGGGGTCCATGGGCAGTGGAGGGACACACACGGGGGGCAGGGGGTCCACGGGCAGTGGGGTGCACTCACACAGTCAATGCAGACTCACGTTCACCCCCACACACACACAATCCTGACACACTCATAGACATCCCTACACATACACACACACATGTTCACCAACACACACACTCACACATTCACCCCACACACAAGCATGTGCACACACACAATCCTGACACACTCATAGACAACCCTACACATACACACACACATGTTCACCAACACACACACTCACACATTCACCCCACACACAAGCATGTGCACACACACAATCCTGACATACTCATGCAGACAACCCTACACACACACACACGTTCACTCACACACACTCACACAGTCAACACACCCCCACACACATTCACCCCACACACAAGTATGTGCACACACACAATCCTGACATACTCATGTAGACAACCCTACACACACACACGTTTACCCCCACACATTCACACAGTCCACACACCCACATACTCACACGGTCACTCCACACACAAGCATGTGCGCACATACTTCCAGTCACATGCACACATGTTCACATTCAAATCTGACATCCATACACTCTTATACAAATGGGCACACATAGATACTAACAGATACAGTCTTATACATACACACGTTTACATACATACATACACACACAGATACTAACATATGCAGTCACACACAAATGATGACACACACAAATACACATTCACAGACAGCCACACACCTGTGCAAGTTCAGTCACATTCATACATGTTCACACATGTACATGCAAGCTTACCCTCACACAAGTCCTCAGACTCACAGCCATACATATACACACAGAGGCACACACCCACATGTGTACACAGATACACAAGTCCACTAGTGGACACAGGTATGCACACAGACATGGATAGGGGCACAAGTCAGCTGACACACACAAGGGAACACTCACAGTGTCTAAACTCTCTCCAGCCCTGGGCCTGCATGCCCCGCCCCAGAAGGAGACCTCATCTGTAGGGAGCAATGAGCCCCAAGTATGATGCTACAGATTCTGCAAACCAATGCCGCCTCCTCTTCTCTCTTACAGGAGTTCTGGGGACTCTGAAAACCTGGCTGAACCCCAACCTCAACACTTCTGTGTGTGTGGGGGGGGGGGGTGTGTGTGTTGCAGAAGGCTGGCTTCTGACAGCAACCGGGGAGGGAAGGGGTCTGACACATACACTATGGGTTCTGGGCCCTCCTTCCCCGCAGGTACCTGGTAACACCTCCTCAGGTCCATCCAGAAGCCAGCCATTGCCGCCAAGCCACCGAGGTTTCGGCTGTACCAGCCAGTCTAAGACTAACACAAGACACAGTTAATAGGCCTCCATCATGCAGCTGAGAAATGATCCGGCTTTGGGGTGTGAGCTCCATTTTATGACAAAAGCCGAAGGCTCTTTGTGGGAGAAACAGCTGTGTTAGCTGGGTGCTGGCCTCTTCCCAGACTCCTTTGCAGCGAGGTGCGGCCATGTGACTCAGATCTGGCCAATGGGAGGTGAGCAGCAGTGCTGAAGGTTGTCTCCTCCCCTCCCTCTCTCTGTGGCAGGGAGCCTCTCAGTGCCCACAGATACATACAGGCAGCACTCAGAATGCTGAGCGACAAAACAGAAGGTCCCTGGGTCCTAGATGACACTTGTCTACCTCTTGACTCTCAGCCAAAAGAGAAGCAAATGTCTACTAGGCTGGTCCCTGTGGTGTTGGTCTTTTCCTTACAGCAGCATAGCTTTGCTGTTTAACCATGCATTTTTCATACGTAGAGTTCCCGAAAAACCAAATCTGATGCCTCTCCAGGACAAGTTGGTGACATGAATGGGAACAACTAGCCAGATTAGGACTGTGGGTTACTGACCATTTGCTTCTGACCAGAAACTGCCAGTGTTACAAGAATTTCTTTCTTTTTTTTAAAAAAAACCTATAAATCTGGATTTATACTTACAAATGTTGGCAAATAATTGTTTTTAACTTGGTCACTTTGGAGATGAAATAAGACATGTCTGAGATCACATCTGTCTGTGACTTCTGCTTTAGTCTGACTCTGAAACACGACAAAAATAAGCCGTTTGGTGGACTATTGGATGTCTTTTAACGTCATATGTGGGTACTGATACAAGTGCTAGTTAGCTATTTTGGAAAAAGACGATTATGAAGATGGTCATTCACACTATGGGCGATGAAACACGTGAGCCCTCAGGAATACAGCCTGGTTGGGAGGTACCTTCCAGTGACCTTTTTTACAAAGGTGTCTGAGAATTTAGTCCCTGCCCTCTCCTCCAAGACCCAGGACAAGCATGGAAGGTAGCCCAAAATGACCACACTGTTTTGGGGGTTGAGGTCACAGTGATGACAAAGAACATGCCACCTTTAATAATATTTATAATTACAATCTACGGTAGGGTTTGACCAAGAACCAGGGGAGAGGCTCAGAGAGGCAGGCCAGCACGCAAGAGGCTTCATAAACAAGGCATACGGGCGCCCCCTCCTGGTGGAAGAAGCATATACAACTCCTTCCCTCTGAGTGCACAGGTCAAATCAGATCACTCCGGCTTGACTTCTTGGTCGGCGCTGAAACCCAGCCAGTACTGGAGAATGGGGGTGGGGGCTCACCTAGGCTAAGAATGACGGCGGTGGTACCTACCTGGTGGGGGCGGCACGGCCTCCAGGCAGGTGTAGGCACAGCCATTGTAGCAGCAGCGTTTGTGACTCAGGCACTGGGTATCCGCCTGGCAGCTCACCACCTGGCAGGCGCCAGGGGGCAGTACGTGCGGGGGTGGGGGACAGCTGTCTGGACGCAGTGGCGGGGGGCCTGGTCCTGGAGCACCCGCCTCCTCGGCCTGAGGGGGGGGCGGAGGGAGACAGAGGCAGTGTGGGCGGCCACAGGGAAGACAGATCCCAGCAGAACCTGCCCAGGGGGTTTCTCTGAGAACTGACCAATAACCCTTTCCGTTAAGGTAACCCCAAAGCGAAATGGCTCAAAGCTCATGGACAGCAAAAAGGGTACTTGGATCATGATCTATTTTTGGAGAACAGTTTGTATGATCTTTAATCTTGGTGTCCTCTATGGTTGATAATAGGACTTCCTGAGGAGATCAACATCCAAGATCCTCAAGTCCTTTAAATGATGGGTGTTTCAAAAAGTATGTATGAAAATGGAATGAAAAAATAATGGGATTTCCCCATGAACTTGTTGAAGGCTTCCTGGTATAAAATGCTGTAGGATTTTCATATAACTTACACACACCTTCCTGTAGCCTTCAGATCACCTCTGGATTACTTACACCTGATACAACGGAAATGCTGTGTGAATAGCACTTTACGCTCCCTCTCGGCCTCTGATGGACTGCTTTTGACCACTTAATTGCTCTACTCCCCGTATATTCCACCACACACACAGATCAACGTGGGAAAGCCCCCTGGACTGCCTCGCTCCTGCCTTTGCCTAAATCCCTTCATTTGGAGGACTCCGCCAGGCACAGTCTCCATGCAGAGCCCTCCATGCCCTGTAGGGGGCGACAGGTCACTGAGAGCAGGTCCTGCCCTGTCTGATAACCAAGCAAGATCAGACGTTTCCAAAACTGCCTTCCCGTGGGTCCCCACCCCTGTTTCACACAGCACAACAATGTATCTTTCACATGCAATGCACATTTAATTTGTGAAAAGAACCAATGAATATTAAACCCACATCCGACCTACAGTGAAGGAGAGACCAAGGACCTGCAGTGTTGTTGTTAAGTGCAGTTGAGTCAGTTCCGACCCATAGCGACCCTGTATAGGGTTTCCGAGGAGCAGCTAGTGAGCGTGAACTGCCGACCTTGCAGTTCAAACGGCTTTGCAGTCTGGTGCATTAACCCACAGCGGTCTCCCTAAAACAGAGGGGATCCTAGGGGTGGGTATCTACCTCCAGGTTCAGTCTCTCAATGACCTTAACCTGGCTCCCTAATCCCTGCACTATTGGGAGGAATTCTGAAGATGCAAGCGGGAAGCATCCAATCCATGCATTCACTCTTAAATTCATTTTCTAAAGATGCATGAAATCAGAGCATTCTAGAACCCGCTCTCTCTAATCTTGGTCTAATCTGACGGCTGCCTCAGCTCCTGGGCACTGACGATGAGCCTTCCTTCGATACCGCCCTGCCGGCTTTCCCAACCCGTCTCATCTGTGAAGTTCAGGGAACCAGGAGACCAGAATGGGAATATTTTTCTCTGAGGCCTGCCCATGCCTCCCCAAAACAGGAGGTTGGAGGGAGACCTATTTTATTAGTACCTCCCCAAGAAACAGTCCAATTTGGATCCTCGGGATTGAAGAAAACAAAAGAGATAAATAAGCGCCTAGACATCAAGCGTCCAGGCATTGTTTACTGTGAGTCCAGCAAAAGAAGGTCCTAGGTGACCAATGGTTTCACTAAGGTCCCTATTTGTTCTTCTTGTTGAGTTGGTTCCAACTCATAGTGATTCTGAACAACGTTTCTGAGGAGAGGCTGGTGGCTTTGAACTGCCAACTTTATGGTTTGCCGTCCAGTGCTGATCCACAGCGCCACACCAGAAGTCCAGGTCCATGCTTAGAGAATTGTGTTTTCTTTTCTTAAAATGTCATTTTATGCAAGGCAATGCTCAAGAATGACTCTGAAAAGAGGGCATGGCCTGTGTTCTGAGAAAGAACTGACTTACCTCGAGAAATTCGTGGATCCCCAGACTCCCATGTGGGTTCAAAGCCCAAGCCCTTGGTTTACAGGTCAGACAGGAATTGCTCCCTCTTCACTGTTCCCCAGGCTACCTCCTCTCCAGCCCTGTCTCATCCTCACCTCTCACCTGTGCTGCCCCTGGGTTGATAACGCCACACACTGTTATAGCCCTCTGAGAAAACAGGCATCCTTCCTGAAAATCAGAACCACCTCGTCTATTTCCCTGAGATTTCCACCTGTGATGCCGCTCCTGCCAAGGGCTTGTGCAGTAAATCTGTTTCAAAACCACTACCCAGCACAATCCACGCGGGCAGCTCAGACCAGACCGTCCCAGAGATGTGATTTACTTGGATAAAAGTGACCCCCTTGAGGTTTTGGTCCCTGCGGTTATTTTTCATCCCTCAGGGAATATTTTTGCAGTTACAAAACAAAGATACCACTTTGATGACTAAGGTGCGCCTGACCCAAGCCATGGTATTTTCAGTCACCTCCTATGCATGTGAATGCTGGATGATGAATAAAGAAGAATGAAGTTAAAAGTGATACCTTTGAATTATGGTTTTGAAGAAGAATACTGAAATTACTATGGCCTCCCAGAAGAATGAACTGAAATCAGTCTTGGAAGAAGTATAGCCTTCAAAGCGAGGCTGGTGACTTTGTCTCCGTACTTCAGGAATGTTATAAGGAGGGACCAGTCTCTGGACAAAGACATCATGTGGTGAAAGAGAGAGTCAATAAAAAGAGGAAAACCCTCAGCCAGATGGGTTGACTCAGGGGCTTCAACAAGGGGCTTAAACACAGCACAGGACCGGGCAGTGTTTTGTGTACACAGGGTCACTATGAATTAGAACCAACTCCATGGCACCTAACAACCACGACAGAGCTGCAAAGCCATTCTACTGCTGGTCTCCTCAGGAAGCGGGTTAACAGGGGTCCACTGGCTCCTTCAGTGGTGAAGCTCAGCTCGGCAAACGCAAGTTTGGATCTGGTTCATTCTGCTGTGCATAAGATCTCTGTGGGTCAGTACCCACTCCGTGGCACCTAACAACAACAACAATAGCAAATGATCTGGCTGGGCAGCTAAAGGAGGCAGATCTGCAAATACCAGCATATTTGCATACGGAAACCTCAAGGTGAACACAATCACCACGCACTCTTACATAAAGGACACAAGGTAGAAAGCAGCATGAATGAAGCTGGCACAAAGGGTCACACACTATGTGATTCCATTGGTATGAACTGCCCAGAATAGGCGAAGCCAGTGAGACTGAAAGAGCAGTGGTTTCCAAGGGGCTGGGGGTAGGGCGTTGGGAGGTAACTGCTTAATGGGTAAGAGGCTCTGTTTTGGGGTGAGAAGAATGTTCTGGGACTAGAGGTAGTGCATGCACAGCTTTGTGAGTGTCCTAAATGTCACTGGAATGTCCACTTTACATCGGTCCATTTTATGTAATGTGGATTTCAATTCAATAAAAAAAAGAGTTAAAAAAAAAAAAGTATACATATATAAAATCCCAGGAAGCAGGAAAAAATGCAGGCAGCATATATGAGAGCTTTATGAAAACATGTGGGCAAATACATAGACACAAACACAGAGGTACAGACAGAGACAGAGACACACAGACAGACATAGAGAGAGACACACAGACACACAGAGACACAGGCACACCCAAAAAAGACAACTGAATTTACATCTGGGAGGACGAATTCAGCGATATGTTTTACTTTTTTGTAGTTTTCTGACTTGTTTTTACATCAATATTTTCATCATCAGGGGGGAAAAAAGGGCAACCATTTCCCTTTTGGGAAGAAGAATCCTCACGCTAAAGCTGCTCCCTTGGTCCTCCCCCACCCCACTTCATTACAAGAGTGCTACCCTTCTTTGGAATGTTCCAGGAACCTAAAGGCAAGGCCAATAAAGAGGCACCCCAGGACTTGGTGTAGGAAGAAAGCCAATTTTCCTCTAAGCATTACTCGCTCTTCCTCTGGAATTCAGACGTCAAAAGATCTAAAAATATGTCCCTCCCAAGTGCAGGGCTTAGAGCTCAGCATGCATTCACAAATGCCATTTCCTGGAGCTTTGGGACCTCAGCGGAGAGCTCCAGGAGCAGAGTTTGGTGCAAGGTTAATGGGACTTCCTGGGAGAGGTCCTCAAAAGCCGGGGATCACACGCCGGATGCAGGGGTGAAGTCACAAACCGGCTGCAGTATGTGCCAAGCATAAGCCAGCAAACTCGACCAACTCCTTCGAAAGGAGCCATGCTGTGCACCTGAGAGTCTTCTAAAGCCCACCAAAGCCAAACACATTGTTGTTAGCATGGCCTCAGGCGTGCTCATGTGTTGCAGAACAGAACTGCTCCATAGAGTTTTCTTGGCAGCAAAGTATGGCATCAGATTGCCAGACCTTTCTTCTGCAGTACTGCTAGGTGGGGTCAAACCTTTGGGTGATTTGGTTGGTCGGTTATGACTCATAGTGACCCTGTATAGGGTTCCTGAGGCTGTAAATCTGTACAGGAGCAGAAAACCTCATCTTTTTCCCACGGAACAGCTGATACTTTTGAACTGCTGACTGTGAGATTAGCAGCCCAAATCATAACCACTCGTCTACCAGAGCTCCTTTGGTTGTGTAGTCAAGTGCAAACCATATGTGCCACCAATGATCCTAAGTCTCTTAAAACCCCAAATCCACACCTACTGCCATCTAGTTGCTTCTGATGATTCTTACTTGTTGTTATGAAGTGCCGTCAAGTCGATTCTGACCCATGGTGACCCTGTATAGGGTTCCCAAGGAGCAGCTGGTGAGCTTGAACCAGCGACCTTGCAGTTCAAACGACTTTACAGTCTGGCTCATTAATCCACAGCGCCACATCAGGATTCTGACTTACGTGACACCTAAGTCAGACTCAGCCCTGGACTGAGAACCACAAGGTCAGCAGTTCAAACCCACCAGCTGCTGCTCAGAAACTCTATATGGGGTCACTATGGGTCAGAACGAAGTCGACAGCACTTAACAACATAGGGAGGAGGAGAACTGCCCGGTAGGGTTTCTAAGACTGTAATCACCTCATCTTTCTCCCAGAGTGGCTGGTGGGTTCAAACCACTGACCTTTTTGGTTTGCAACAGAATGCTTTAACCACTACACCACCATGGCTCTTTGAAAGGCTGTTATCATTAAGAGCTGCTGAGTCAGTTCTGACTCATAGTGAACCCTATATAGGGTTTCTGAGGAGCGGCTGGTGAGTTTGAACCAGTGACCTTGCGGTTCCAGCCAACTTTGCAATCCAGCGCATTAACCCACAGCTCCACAGCGTAATCCCTCGATTCTGCTCCAGAAAGAAAGCGCCGATGGGATGCGCTCAGTCACTTCACGAACAGCTCATAACCATAATCCCCAGGCCTGCTGTATTGCCATGCACTGGGCTGGCTTGGGGGGAGCTGATGCCTATTCAAAGACTCCTCCCAATCTGCCTACACACGGCTCATCCTTCCAGGACAAGGAACCGACACGAAAGCACCTGTCATAGAGTTTTTGCTGCAAAGATAGTTCACAGAAAACCAACCAGCCACAACGAAGCATGTAGACCCTAAGAACAAAGGTTGTGCAGGGTGAGGATGGTTGGAGGACTCAGAACGGGATGCCCAGGGAGAAGGTCTGTCGAGAGGCTCAGGGCAGTGAGCTGAACGCCAGCCATCGTGATCCTCTGCTGGCTAGGAGACTCTGACCCCTCGTGAGCCTACGAGACAACACAGAAGTGCTCCCTCGGGTCTCTCCCACCGAGAGGCTGGCGGGACATAGAGGTCTTCCTCACTCCTCCAGCTTCACTCCCAGCATGCACTCTGAATCCCTCCCATGCTCCTGGGCTATAGGACTGAGTCTTCCTTTCCCCACCTGGTTTCCACCTGGAGGTTCAGGGCTGGAAACTCTACAGAGATGCTGAGGTACATCAAGGAGTGTACACGCTATTCCCATACTCTCCTTCCTCCCACTCCCACCTCCTGCATCTACAGTACAGGTTCTGTGCTGACTGCTTTCGTGTACCAGGTGGCTCTTGTACCCTCAGGACCCACCACACCCCGGCTCAGCAGATGGAGACCCCTCAGGGGTCCTGGGACACTGCAGGGCTATGGCCCTCCCACTTTCCAAGATCACCATCTGGCCCCCATGGCCTCCATTTCCTTCTCCATGGCAGGTCTCCATCGAAGGCTGGCTTGCCAGCTGCAAATACAGCTGCAAATACAGCTGCAAGCAGTGGCAGCTGACTGTTCTCTCCTGGGAGCAGGCCAGAGACAAGGGTGAGGGTACAGGTGGTATGTCTATTCTGGGGAGTTCCTGGGTGGAACAAAGTGTTAAACACCCAGCTACTAACTGAAACTATGGCTTTTCAAATGCACTCAGAGGGGGCTCAGAAGAAAAGTGTGGCAATCTGTTTCTAAAAAGTCAGCCAATGGAAACCCTGTGGAGCACAGTTAGACTCTGGCACGCGTGCCATTGCCAAAAGTTGCAATTGCCTCAAGCACAATTTGCCTGATCCTGGTTTGAGTACAGTTGAGAACAGGTCTCTGGAAGCTTCGGCAGGAGAGTGACGATGAGAAGCAGGGGAGGGAAGGAGAGCCCATTTGGCAGGGAGCTACCACGGGCAATAGGGGCTCAGGCCCAAGGACCCTGTGTGAAAGGGTACACAGGGCATAGTGCTGACAAGTTACCTCCAGGTTGAGGGCACACAGCCCTCTGTTCCCCTCGGCTCCGTGCGCACTACTGCTGGCACCTCAGCCTGCACGTGGCCTCAAGGGCCTTCAGGTGGCCGGCACAGGGGCTACGGGGAGTGAAGGAAGAGGAGGGCCAGGGTGCCAGGGCCGTGGGCTCCTCCCGCCTTGGGCTGTCTGTACTGGAAAGGAGCTCTGGTAGCGTAGTGCTTACAAGTCAGACTGCTAACCTCAAGGTCAGCAGTTCAAAACTACCAGCTGATCCACAGGAGAAAGATGAGGCTTTCTGTTCCAGTAAACACTTACAGCCTCAGAAACCCAGTACAGGGTCGCTATGAGTCAGAAGTGACTCCATGGCACATAACCACCACCATGATCTGTATTGGAAGGCCCTTAGGAACTTGAAGAAACCCTGGGAACAAGTAGGGGAAACTCAGGAACACAAATCGCAGGGTTGTGGCTGGCTGGTTGTGGCCCTGGAGGGTAGGGGTGGCGAGGGATAAACAGCAGACCCACAGCCACAGTGGAGCCCACCCAGGACAGGAGAATGATCCTGAGAGCTTACACTGGGACCATGTGGCTGGATAAAGAGCACACACGCTCGGTAAACTGTGTTCCTGCAAACTGCATGCGCTCTGGAGAAGAAGAGCTCAACTTCAGCTCCACAGAAACGGCTCTGAGGCCAGGGAAAATCCACACACTGTTTACAAACATCCTGCTCGCTCCCATTCAGCCTCCTAACGATTTGGGTGCTTTTTTTCCCCCCCTCAGTTGAGGATGTGGCTCTCTGTCAGCCATGGACTAGAAGGATTAAGCGTGTGGCTTTCTCCTCTCAGTTCACAGAGCCGGCACCACTGTAGCCCATGTTACTGATGAAGAAGCTGAGGTTCAGAGAGCAGCTGGAATTCACTCAAAGTGGCAGAGCTAAAAGGCAGTAGATGTAGGGCTTCTCTTTAGAAGACCTTCCCGTGGGAATATAAGGTGTCTGCTGTGTCCTCTGCTGCTGTTTGGGTTTGGATCAAGTACACTGTGGGAAATTAACTGGGGCTACTCCAACTGTGATGAGAAAGATGAGGCTTTTTGCTCCCATAAAGATCGGCAGCCTCAGAAACCCTGTGCAGGGTCACTATGAGTCAGAACCAACTCGACGGACGGCACAGAACAATTACAACAACTCCAACTGTGAGGCTGGGCCCCTAAATCAAGAGTCGGGCCCGTGAGGCACTCAGTTCTTCCTCTGGTCCCATCTCAAAAAGATGGGGATCTGAGCTCCCAGGCCAGAAGGGGTTACCACTCAAAAGCATTGGGCTGGTCAATGTTTAGCAATCAGTGTTCCGAGGAATGCAAACCTTTGCCAGTTCCTATGGTGTAGGATCGCTATGAGTCCGAACCGACTCGACGGCACTTAACAACAACATGGTGCAAATATCCGCTTTGTGGCTGATTTCAAGCTACCAGCGTGACATCATTGTAGTCATGGCTACAGTTGGACTCAGCATGGGGGACACTCTGAGTGTATGTAGGGCTGTTTCCCATCACCCCCAAGTTCCCTCTGGGCATCTGCATGGAAACCCAAAGGAGAATTGAAAGAGTTCTGGAGACCATCTAGGTTTGAACCCACCAGCCACTCTGGGAGAAAGATGAGGTGATTACAGTTTTGGAAACCCTACGGGGCAGTCCTCCTCTGCCCTATGTTGTTGTTAAGTGCCGTTGAGTTTGTTCTGACCCATAGCGACCCCATATAGGGTTTCCGAGCAGCAGCTGGTGGGTTTGAACTGCCAACCTTTATTCCTCTGCTACAGACCTGAGAATCTAAGATGCCCCAGTGGCTCAGTGGGTTAAGTGTTGACTTTCTATGACCAATTACACCATCTCATTGACCATCATTTTAATCCCTCACTCTTTCCCATTCCCACGTAGCCTCTGTCTTTCCCTCCAAGCACCTGTCAGTCCTGCAGCCAGAGATTAGTTTAATACAGTTTCAGACACCCATCATGCCTGCAGTCGTTAAACACCCTCCCTCTCTAATTTCCACCTATCAAACTCCTATTCATCCCTTTAAACCCCAAGTCAAAGGCCCATTCTTGGAACACCCTTCCTGACTCTCTGGAGAAGAGCTGCACAGACTTTGTTCTCTGTTTCCTCTGTATAGCTATCATTCACCCACAAGAAGGAATTAGGCACCCACTTAATGACAGCTCCTCCCTGAAGAAGATAGAATCAGGCCCACCTGGGGAATATACATGCTACCCGGGGAAGTGAGCACCAACTGATTTCACAGTTACCTGATTAAAAGTCCCCGAGATGATGTGCTCTGGGTTCAGCATGTTACAGGCATGGAAACATTTACTTTTGCCAAGAGTCATCTTATTAACCGCTTGACCCTCTATGCCAGGGAGTCTCCAACCTCCCCACCCCATATGGAAAGAAAACCAAACCAAACCTACTACAACCTACTCAATTCCAATTCCTAGAGACCCTATAGGACACAAAAGAGCAGCCCCAAAGGATTTCTAAGGCTGTAAATCTTTACGAAAGCACACAGCTTCAACTTTCTCCCATAGAGAGGCTAGAGGGTTAGTGGCCCAACACTTAACACTTGGTGCCATCCTAAAAGTATACACATGCCTCTCACTGCTAGTCAGCCCCACTCTGGCATTTGTCACTGAGCAGGGCAGCATGGGTCCCATGGGGCACTGGACTGATGTCTGCATGCCCATGACCCATGACAGGACTTGTAAACAGTGGTGATCAAAATGGATTTGTTGACTTGTACAGGTGAGCTCATGGTACTGAGTGATGTCAAGCAATTTGCTGAAGGGACACAGCTTGGGGCAGCAGAGCTGGGCTCCACGCCACACAGGGCACAGAGATACATCCTGTTCTGCCTCCCTCCCACCCCACTCCACGATGAAACCCTTGAGTGTGCTTTCATCCTGTGCCCACAGGAGCTTGGTGCCTGGGTCTCCAGACGTTTTCTAAATGAATACAGAGCCACTTGAGTGGCCAAGGATGAGATGACACCCCCAGCTGTTGAGTACCTGGACTCCTGGATGGGTGCTCTTTTCCAGGGAGAGCAGAGGCCAGCTGCAGGGGAATCTCCCAGGCCACCAGCCAGCTCCAGCACTGATATACAAACACCCCTGCATGGAGCATGCACAGTATGTGTGTGTGTGGGGTGGGGGGCTGCCATTCATACTCACGCGGGACCTCTGTGGCGGCCTCGCCTGCAGCACAGAGACGGCTCCGAGGAGTAGGAGCAGCGGCAGGAAGCTCAGTGCCTGGATGGTCTTCCCCGAGCAGCTGCCCATCCCGAGAGCGGTCAGAGGAGTCTCCTCCCAGAAGCTCCAAAAGATGTTCCTGACTCCCGGCGGCCTGGTCCTCGACTGGGATGGATCGGGTGTCCACGCCCAGCACATCCCTCCCCTGGGGAGGTGGGGGGGGGGGAATGGCCAGCCCGCCTGGCTATTTTTAGTCTGGCCTGGAGACTCCAGAGGCAGGAGGAGGGGCATGGGGCTTGCCTGGGGACGTGGCTGGGAGCCGCCCTGTCCCTGTCTGTAATGAATACTTCCTGGCCGGTGGCTGCCAGGAAGGGACTGCCCCGACTGATGGGGGCAGCTCACAATGCCCCCTCATGCAAGTTGTGAGCTGGGCTGCAAACTCGGTCTACTCGTATATCCAGACACATGGCTGTAGGAAATCCCTGACCCTCATGCACCCCGATTTCCTCCTCCGCAAAGTGGGCATGGGGACAGTGACCCATAGCACGTTTCTTGGGAATCTGAGATGGAACTATATACAGGATGCCTATAACGCACTGTCTGTTGAGGTGAAGTGCCATGGAGTCGGTTCCAACTCATAAGCGACTCTATATAGGGTTTTCAAGGAGCACATGGTGGGTTTGAACTGCCACCCTTGTGTTTAGAAGCCCAGTGCTTAACCCACAGTGCCACCAAGGTTCCTTTAGTAGATCACAAGAGCTCTGTAAATGTTTGCTTGGGTGTGTGTGTGTGTGTGTGTGTGTGTGTGTGTGTGTGTGTTGTTTGCATTGGGTTGATACTTCACAAATTCCACTGGTCATGCACAGCAACCTCAAGGTGTGTGCTATTTTGACCCCCATTTTATTGATGAGGATACTGAGGTAGTACATAGAGGTACAGTACCTGACTGAGTAGTAGGCAGCAGAGTTGGGGCTCGAGCCCAGGCCTGTCTGTCCCCTGTGGAAAGTCACCAGTCACAGAGAGAAGTTCTCTCTGTCTGTTTGGTGCTAAGAAAGTCTCTCCTGCCCGCTGGTTTCATCTGTGAAATGGGGATGTGTCTTAGTTCTCCAGCTGTGATAAGAGAAATACCACAAGGGGGGGATTTAACAAACAAAATGCATTTGCTCACAGTTTAGGAGGCTGGGAGTCTGAATTCTGCGCTGCGACTCCAGGAGAGGCTTTCTGTCTCTGTCGGCTCAGGGGAAGGTCCTTGTCTCTTTGAACTTCTGATCCTGGTCAGTCTCTAAGTGACTTGGCATCTCTCGCCCCCCTTCTTGGGGTCCCCCATCTCTAGGGGGGTTCTCAGTGCAGGGACCTTAGGGCCACAGGACACAGTCCATTCCCCGATCTTCATTCTGGGTGGTACTGAGGTCCCTCTGATCTCTGCTCACTTGTTTAATCTCTTTTTTATCTCAAAAGAAGATACCTAAAATGGGGTTATGCAGGAAGTAGTCCTACATGAATGGGTCTAGGGTAGACAGAGAATGAAAGTGGCAGGGGACTCAAGATGGTCAGTCAAGAGTGACTTTATTATCAATAACACAGCTTTAAGTAGACTTTTCGTAGGAAGCGTATCTGGACAGCATATGCATCAAAAGTTAATGATTAGCACAATAACCTTTAGGTCACAATATCCATTCAGTTATGTGTAGCTATAAATCAAAGGAGCTCTGGTAGCACAGTGGTTATGAACTGGATTGTGAACCTTAAGGTTAGCAGTTCGAAACTTCCAGCTGTTCCATGGGAAAAAGATGAGGCATTCTGCTCCCGTAAAGATTTACAGCCTCAGAAACCCTGTACAGGGTCGCTCTGAGTCGGAAGCAATGCCACAGCACATAACCACCACAACCATCATAAATCAAATACATAGTGATTCATGTTTCTGGTTACAGCCCCTGCTCCCAAGCTATGCGGTTAGTGTGGTCTTTCCCAGAATCTTTGGCCAGGAAGGCTTCCCTTGTTGTTCTCCTCAAGGAGACCCTTGATCTGAGAATGGCCTCGGAGTGGGCTTCACACACGTCCGGCAGCTCCTACAACGGGGAAGAGGGGGTCTATAAAAGCACCAAGTGATTGGCTTTTAAGTTTTCAAGTGGGAGTTTAGTTTCAGAGAGTGAAGGGGAAGGTAGAGTCCTCACTGAATAGATTTTATCTTGTCTAGATGGGTCTGGTGAAAAGAGATGGGGTAAGAGTTGCATGATTCAATAGTGAATAATTGTCATCATGACTAATTGTGACTGTCACAACAGTAAAGGTAGAGTTTTGTAACAAAAACGGGGGAGTAGTTAATCTTACAGTCCAGAAACAGAAGCCCGTAGGACCATCAAGGGAGAAGAGCACAAGCAGAATGCAGGACCTTATCCAGAGAAGCAGCAACACCAGAGATGGAGGCAGGGATGGGGACATGGAGAGAGGGAGCGGCTGAGGACTCTAGACTCATGGGAAGAGAGAGGCTAAGAACTGGTGGCCAGGAGGCAGACTTGCAGAATGTGCCCTTTGGAGATGTAAATTATTATATATGCCTGAGTGTGTATTTAAAAAAAAAAAAAAAGCTAAAGTAGATACAGAAAAATACTGTTAACTGATGGTACATGGAGGGGGTTATAATCATTGTAATGAAACAAGGTATATGATTTGTTGAATGTAAAACTGATGATCTGCCTGCCCTGTAAACTTTCACTCAATCCACAATAAAAACCTTAAAAAAATAATAATAATAAGGGAAGTAGTTAATCTTACAGTCCAGAAGCAGAGGACCCTAGGGCCATCAAGGGAGAGGAACACAAGTGGAATGTGGGACACTATCCAGAGAAGCAGTGACACCAAAGATGGAGACAGAGATGAGGACATAGAGAGGGAGCAGCTGAGGACTCTAGATTCATGGAAAGAGAAAGACTGAGTGGTGGCGGCCAGGAGACAGGCTTGCAGAATGTGCCCTTTGGTGTTTTAAATTATTATAGATTGCTGAGTGTTCT